CTTAAGTAAAGGCATCTATATAACATAAAGCATATGCTGTTTATCTCCGAAACAAACAGTCCGCCTAAGACCTTTGACCTTCCACTTCTCAGTGGGTATAAAAAAGGTGAGAAGGTGGAATATCTTCTGCTCTTGGAGAAACTACGCATTTAACCTGCAAATCTAAACCATTTACTAAAGGAGTTTTTCAAACACAGAAGGGCAGGTGCCATAGGAAGTTTGTTGTTTGTTTAACTATTACAAAAGAACAAAAAGATCTAGACAAAACACAGATTGCATAAATAAATTAGAAGGTTTTCATTTTAATCGCTTTTCTAAAGTTTCTAAACAGATAAGCAAACACCCAGGAATACACAAATGCAAAATGCATTCAAATTAAAAAACATAGAAATGCACATCATAGAATAAGAGACTGGGACATAAATAAAAAAGGCCTTGAATACTTTTTTTTCCATGATCAGAATTGTTGAAGAAATCTGTGAAAAAAAATCTTTGTCCACATATTACTAAATTATAGATAGGTTGGATTAAAAATATATCAAAGAAGAAAAATTTCTTTCCAGTAAAAGATGATGACTTTCCCTATTATATAGTATCAGGACACTCTTTTGGTTTAATATTTCACATTTTGAAACTCATGTAGGGAAGTGGTGTCCAGGTCAGTTTTTTGACATTTCCTTCTAAACAAGATCTTTAGAGGTGTTTAAATTGTTAATTGTTGGTCTGGTGAAACAGGGACAAACATAAAAAGAAGGGGTATGAAATATGTAAAACAGCAAACCCTGACGACTAGAGTTGAGAACCTTGTCAAAAGAGTTTTAGGAGACATAGTTACATCTCTTTGATAAACTAGTAAAGCATAGAATTACATTCTTTCTTTTTATATTCACAAAATATAAAACATTTTACAAGTTAATCAACAACTTTAAAAGTATGATATGCATTTTAACTACATTCATAATAGTTGTTTGGCAAATTTGAACTTTAAATGCACTTTAAGCAAATTGAGTACGTTCCAAATATTATTATACTTTATATCTGACACCTATCCTTAACAGAAGCAAATTATTCTAAGTATAGAGACATGAGGAAAGTGTAGCTTAGCAAATTGCAAAAGACAAAATGAATTTGGGTATGTATTCTGGTTCACCTATGAGTGGACAAAAAAAAAACATTATTTTGGGGGTCTGAATAGTCTAAAATTAATATTTTATGATATTCCCGTTTTTTCAATTTTGGAAAACATGAATAAATGTTTTGCAAATAAATAATTTTAGTTCATGTAAAATCTTCTGGTTTAACGTATGCAAAGCAAAAATAGATGTTTACAAGGAAGTAAGAGTTGGCTATGTTCCTTTTAAATCGATGTCAGATTGTGATATACAGTATTATGTTGTATATTTAATTTCAGATTTACTTGGTTTTACGACCCAAATAAGCTTTTACTAGGAATGATTATGTTGACTTCTTGTTTGCTCCTCCAATAATGATCACTCATGCAATCACCTGGAAAATTATTGAACCACAGTTGCTTTATTTTGATTCAGTTCCAATTTTGCTCTCTGCTGTGAATATTGCATAACATGGTTGAATAGCCTGGATAGTCCACTTCATAGGTAACTACTGGCTAAGCATGTAGTGACTTCATGAAAGGAACATAAACACAGCTCATTTCCCAATAAAAATGCTTACTGTTGACTACAACGTGTTTTTTGTCTTTTTTTTTTTTGTTAATCAAATCAATTGAAGCTATGTATATTCTGTCTTGAACATCATGTTATTGTTCCCTTAGGAGCAGTAAAACATTTTATGAAGGCTCATTACTTTCATTATACATAGTATTTATGGATGCAGTTTTACATAATGAACTCAAATATTGCTGAAAGAAAGAATCTCACAAAGGCAGCAACAGTGAAGATCAGAATAAATATGTGTTATCACACCGTGTTGTATTATAGTCAGGAAATATTGTTCTTTATGCTTATCTGTTAAGTACCACAATTCTTTGAATGTTTTCTTCAGTTTTTATTGCTTTTGTCATTGTGTAAATATCCTTTCTGTCTACAAATGGATATATGTTTCTCAGTTTTATTTCAATAATTGTTAAACCAATTAGTTTTTTTTATTATTAAGAAGACAATAAGTCACTTAGAAATTAGTTCTTAAATCTATTCATCACCTCAATATAATAAAAAACAATTCTGTATCTAGAATACCAACCCCGTAATTTGCACCTCTGGAAAAGATGTGTACAAAGCCTAAAAAAAATTATTCCTTTTTAATTGCTGTAATGTCCAATGTCTAGTTATTAGTTGTCTTATATTGTTTCTTTTTTTTAAGATAAAATACTTTCAAAGGTCCTTTGGATATTTTCCTATATCAGTTTATTTGAACTTGCCTTTTTATTATTTTCTTTTATATATTTATTTATTGGCTTACATTGTATTTCCTTGCTTTTATTGACAAAGTTATTTTAAATCACAGTTGTTTCTTGCATTTTGAAATAATTATTTACCATTTCATTTTATTTTTACTCTGAATAATATTTATAGTATATAACATCCAGTAGCTTTAGTTAACTCTATTTTTTATCTTTTGTAGAACTGATTGGTGGGACTCCAAGCCTTAAAATCAACCATGGTTCTGGGACCTTAGTTCTCCAGTTAACAAATGTTGGAGTGAGTGACAAACTTTGGCATCGACTTGATGTGAGGACCAACAGCAAAGTAAGAGAAGTGCATTAGTTCCAAAGCCAGGCTGCACAAGCAAGACAATGGGAAGAAGCTTTACATTTATTGTAGCATGTAGCTGTAAAGACCTGTTTTTTGTGCTACCCTTTTTGAAGGAAGTGCGCCTAACCCTGGATCGATGCTCAAGTGCGGTAGTCATGGAAGCCGAGGGAGTGGAATCATGGGCGATGACAGAGGATCGCTCATCCTGTGAAATACGAGGGGTCACACCAAACAGGGATAAGTAAGATCAACACTCAAGTTTTGGAAAAAAATGAAGTCATTAATAGATATCCACATTTTAATACTTAATTTTTCATGGCCTTTTCCATCCATCCATCCATCCATCCATCCATCCATCCATCCATCCATCCATCCATCCATCCATCCATCCATCCATCCATCCA